TGGCTTTAAATGGTGAAGCTTGGCCGATGATAAACGAGGGAACAATTCGGCCAAAGCGGCCTTTAGGCTATCATCTCTTGCTGTTGACTCGCCTTCAGCAATCGATATAAAATCAACATGGCCAGGTTCCTCGACAACCACATCTCCATCGAGGAAATTTGGTTGAGCCGTGCTTGATTGAAAATCGGCAGGTAATACATGAACCATACTAATTTCCATATTATCCAGGACGGACGGGCCCATCCGATCGAGATCCTCCTCGTTCGGTTGGTTAGCGACTACGGACTCAGTTGTCGTCAGAGTCGGACAACGAGATTCTTCCGTCCCTTCAATAATGTCACTCGGCGGAGCTGCTTCGGCCACTTGTTGGCTCTGCGTGACCGCCTCAGGTAAGGTCGAGATTGACAATGAGCTTGGGGTCAAGTCCTGAACCTGCTCCTGGTAGTGTAGCCGAGCATCCCTAGTGTCGAGATAAGCATCCAGACGGGCAATACGGGCGATTTCATCGGTCGTAAGGCCGAAGAGAGAAACCGCCGAAAATACTTCAAAGTGATACCGTAAATACTGAAGGTCCTCTAGCGAGAAAGGAAGGTCAGCGACATCGATATCGGTATACGGGTCAACTTCAAATCCAAAGACACGAGCTTCTCGTATGTGCTGGAACCTTGCTTTCAATCCTGGATCTGAGGTCTTCTGGATGATCCGCTCAGCATCCGGACAAGTCAAGACAAGATCAATGGTGTCCTGACATGCCTTCGGCAAACCATACAAATCGTTGGCCGAATGTTCCTTATGAAATTCTCGCATATATTCCAAAGACTCCCCAAGGAACGGGGGGTGCAAATTCCGTCGAATTTTGACCAAAGGCTCTTGTATAGCTAGCGGGGATAATTTGCTTTCGGCCTTTTGCCTGAAATGTTCAACACGTGCCTTCATTTCCCCTGGTCGAATGAGAAGTTTGATCCGCTTATCAGCTTCTTCAAACATGGTCTCGACGTCTTGATCGACCAGCCGTTTCCCCTGAGCCAACTCTGTCATAATTGGTGGAGGTGGTCGCTTTTCATTAGTGGCAACTGTATCCTTCGGTCGCCACTTAGGGGCCGAAGTTTGTTGGGCTGCTTGTCGGCGAGCCATGCAATCTATCCGTTGATGCCGGCGTTTCTGAGATTTGGACAACGCGGTATAGACGCCCTTCGAAGAATGGTATGTGTACCAACGTTGATCTCTAGGCTCAGGAGGCTTGAAGGTCTTTTGACTCCGTGATGATCCTGAACTGCTAGAATTACGCTTATAGTAATCATCGTCATAAAATGAAGCATCAAAATCAAGGCGCCGCCTGACCGGGGGTGTCTCTTCCATCCGTACTTTAGGACCGAGCCTCCCAAAAACCCCATGATGTTGGTCTTCATTGGCTATCTTTTGCCGAGTTGCGGCCACGGGTTGCGAAGAAGGTTTCTCTTCTGGTTCACTGTCGACCTTCGCTTTACATTTCCTGCACAGAACCGCTGTCCCACTATCTTCATTGGCGCTACACTCCGTCAAAGATTTGACAATAGCGGGCCCCGTTAAGGCCGCAGATGGTTTATTTGAACGCGAATCGGCCATGAACCGTGGCCGAACATTCTGGTTCCGCGGGCGTTGTGTCTCAACCACTTCAGCCTTGCCTTTCCCTTTGTCCTTGGGTAGGTACGCGTCGACCATATTGACTGTTGCCGTGGGGAACGGATCAGTATCAACACTCATCCTCTTCTCGGGGAACTTCAGCTTGCCATTATCAATCCAGCTTTGGACGTTATCACGAAATACGACGCAATTGTTTGTCGTGTGTTTGCTCGAATTGTGGTATTTGCAATACACCTTTCCTTTAAGCTCCTCGGCCTTAGGAATGTTATGACCAGGCCGAAGCTTAATGATTCTTGCTGATAACAGTTGGTCAAAAATTGCGTCAGCCTTGGTAATATCAAAAGTATAAACCTTTGACGGTTTCGATGTTCCTTCAGTGGCCGAGCGACTTTTGGCTTCTCTAGAATCAACCTGAGTCAATGCCTTGCAAATGTATGGTTTATCTATTACTATCTCAGCCGCATCCACACTAACACATTCATCCTCGGTTGATGCATAATTGACAGTAGGGTTCTTGTAAATCGTTCCCCGAGTTGGAGTCTTCGAAGTCTTTTCCTCGCGGAGCAAATAATCGTACTGCTCGACATGCTGGGCCAATTCGTACATATCCCGAAAATTTGCCCCCAAGAATTTCTTTTTGTATTCGACGTCAAGACCATTCAAAGCAAGCCTGACAAATTCGACTTCGGGTAAGGGCACTCGGCACCAATTCCTAGCCGATTTAAACCTAGTAAGATAATCCATTGGTGACTCATCAGATGCTTGAGCCATCCGTGCTAATGAAGAAACTGACATCTCCATCCCCGGCCGATAAAATTGCTCGTGGAACTTCTCGACCAACTCCTCCCAGTTTTGGACGGAATTAGGCGGGAGATTGATGTACCAGGCAAATGCCGAGCCGGTCAATGAAAAATTGAACAGCCGTAACTTGTGGAAATCACTATTCACATCTCCACATTGCGCGGTGAAACGAGCCACGTGCTCCAACGAAGACAGGGACGATTCACCAGCAAAAAGACTAAAATCTGGGATCTTGAAGCCCTTCGGGTATCCAAACGTCTCCACGTAAGCTGGGTACGGATGAATAAACTTGGGAAACTTCGGCCCTTTCTTCATAGCCGAGTCGATCATCCGTTGAACTTCGGTCATATCAACAGATGCTGCTTCGACCCTTTGGTCGGTCCTGTCTGACCTACTGTTCGACCCTCCTCCCTTCTCCAAGTTAATTGTTTTGAGCGGGGCAGGAATAGGTTCGGCCGATACAATCGGTACAATGTTGTTTTCTGGTAAACAAGGTTGGCGAAGATCGAAAGGCCTGCTGCCACCAACTTGGCTAACCAGCATTTCGAGCAGTTTGGTTTGCCGATCATTGGCACTGAGTATCGCGTTCTGCAGCTTGTCAATGCCTCGACTGAACGTCTGCTCGACTGACCGAGACTGCTCGTCCAGTCGCTTTCGGAGAAACGACCTCGTTGGTGGGTCTGATCCGTCACCACCATCCTCGTCACATTCCTCTATTATCCCTTCATTGAGAACGCATGTGTTTCTGTTGGGGATTTCTAAACCACGGAGTTGACCGCCGAGATTAAGTTCTCTCTCTCGGCGAGTCGCGGTCGTGGACTCAGGTGTACCAACGCTAAGGGGATTCTGCGCCTGTGGCACACTCTGTCCTATGCTTTGACTCGGTAAATCGGTTGTCGACTTTCCCATAGCTGTTTTCTTTTTTACCGATCGTGTTTCAATTGGCATGAACTTCGTAGTTTAGCACTAGGTCCCACCGAGCGTGCCAAAATGTTGACCCTAGAAATTACAAAGCCTACGTGGCGCGCAGGCCGAATATATTCTAAGCTAACTACGTCCTTCGGTGATTGCGAGGCGTGCCAACTCGTCGGCCGAGGCTCGGCCGAGGAGTAAATTTGATGATGCTGCGTTGGGTCGCGCTACTGACTTCTGCGTCTTGCGATTGCGGCCGAGAAAGGAACGCGTCTCGGCCTCTTGGGTTCTCGAGCCTGAAGACAAGGCTGCTATTTCTTACAAAGTTCGCGAACCGAATTCGGCTTACAATGTGCCGAATGTAATAACTGTAACACCTCACCTCGCCGAGAAGGCTAATGAGATGACCTCGACCAACAAGGATTCGAAAACCCTTCTCGACCGAGACTTGGATAGGCAATCGACCGTTCTCGCCGCAGTGCTGTTGATGCCAACGGAAGATACTGCGAGACCGACCGACTCTACGGTGACAGAGCTATCTATGCCGACTTAAGATATCACCGGTTGCTTCCACAGTGCTGTTGATGCCAACGGAAGATGTGTCGGCGAAAAAGGAAAAGAAAAAGATCTCAAGTTGTGAGAGTTTGCGCAGGGCAATTTTGTATTGATTTTTGTGGGGTCTTTCCATTGCTGAATGTCTTGTATTTATAGTAGCAGAACACCGAGCCCGAGTTCTAATCCTATTCGAACTAGGTTTCCCTCTCCGGATTAACGTTACCTCAATCAGTCCTATCTCTGCTAGGACTACGAATCTAGTCCTTAACTGAGCCGGATTCGCCTTCTAGTTTTACTGATCTCGTCGAGGGTCCCTATTGTATTAGGACTCGACTTGCACTCTGATTTAACCGATCTAGGCCTAGAAGCCCATGAGCTGAACGCCCCCATGACTCTCTCGCCGTACGTCTTCCCGGGCCGAAAGTGATACCTCCCTCGGCCCAAACTGTTATTTTGGGCCCAAACAGTTATATTTCTGACTTGGTTCAATAAGCTCAAGAGAGGTTTCGTAGACATTGCTAAAAATTCGGTATTTCCGTGAAACTCGATTCTTGTTTATGTCTCTTGCCCTCTTGTTTTAACAATGAATGAATAACAACATGAGAGAACATCATCAAGATTAGAAATTTCCCTTGACAAAACAAAAAATTCTTTTGAAAAGTAAACTTCATAAATTTTAAGCCTTTTGTTTCGCTTAAAAATAACCAACAACGAAAAAAGAAAAAAAAAACAGTATTTTTAAAATTGGTGTGAATTGAGATGATGTGGTATATGTGCACATTAAATGATATGATTTTGTAACTCTCATGTTTGGATATGCTAAAGTGTTATTTATTAATCCCAAAAGAATAATGTACCGAATTATATCTGTTAATTGACGTTTTGTTGTTTTGATCTTGTGTTACTTGCTGTTACAATTTGATAAGCTGTATACCTCTCACTACAAAAAGACATGGAGTTTTCGTTTGGCATGTTGTAGGGATTTGCAGTTCGCACATAATGCTGATTTTTACCACTCAGCAAATGCCATAATTTTGCTCTTCATTTATGTTTTGTTTGATTTATGACATACACTAATAATTTCTAGTTCTATATATTAATTTGTGCAGCTTTTCCCTGAATGTGCCCCTCATTCTGTAGCCTACATTCTTGAGTTGTTGGCATTGCGCCATTGTGCAGGCTGCCAGTTTTATCGTGCAGAGAGCCGAGGGCAATCATGGGATTCAGATGGAAACCACATAAAAAATGTAAGGCTTGATTAAATTGCTGGACTTCAGTCTAAAATTGATGATATGCATTTGTTAGTTCTGCTGTGTTGTTTATTACCTTGAATGCCCTTTCGCATCTGAATACATGCTAGTTTATGGGAGAAGGGTCACGTACGCTTTGCAATTCCAATACTGCACTTAAGAACAGGGGAAATAAACTGATTTGATAACTTTTCCTGTGTGAATTTGATAGACTCCTTTTGGCCCTCCATTTGCACTGGTTCAAGGAACACTAGAAGCTCAAGGAGGCACATTTAAGAAGATTCCGACTGAAGTTTGCCCGACCATTAGAAAGGGTTCTGTAGCATGGATTGGTTCTGGCCCAGAATTTTTTATAAGCCTAGCAAATCACGAAGAGTGGAAAAAAGACTACACTGTCTTTGCTTCTGTTCTTCCAGAAGACATGAGCATCGCCGAGAAAATTGCTCAACTTCCGACCACTCCAGAGGTTTGGAACAGTATCAACGTGACTGTCTTGGAAAAGCCCGTTCCCTTGCTTCTGCAAAGAATCAAGATGAGTCACGGAGATCTCACTGCAAACATGAAATCAAATTAAAAGAATCTATACAATACCGGTGTTTATACACGATGAAATCCGTCCCTTCCGACGCTGTTTTCTCTTATTATTCTGAGTTAAACTTTATACATATATGAGATATAATACCTAGATCGTTTGATCATGGAAATGTTGAGTGGCAGGTTTTGCTTATGTTGCTGTTTATGTTTTCCTGCCTTTTCTCTTATTTTGTCAAAGTTTGTGTGTCTTGCTGGTTTCACTTCACTTAAACAAAATGTAGTGTTTCCTTGTTAAACAAACTTGGGGCTCGTTTGAAAGTACTTTTAAAATGACTGAAAGCGCTTTCAGAGAATGTTTTTATGTTCCAAAAGTACTTAAAGTGCTTCATGCAAGAAGTACTAGTTGTAGGTAACACTTCAAGTGCTTATACAAGATTCACTTGCATTTTTCCAAAAGATTTGTTCCAAAAACATTTTTACAAAAAGCGTTTTCAGTCATTTTAAAAGTAGTTCCAAGCGATGTCTTAAACGACTTACATAAAGCTTTAATGAAAATTAAAACAAGTAAAACTAATTGCATAGTCAAGAATTCAATCAAGAAAGATCAACGGTTCAATTCTATTTTAAAATCAAATGCTTGAAGCGACCCGCCAACTATCATAGATGGATAGTTTTGATGCCAATTTAGTTCTAAAACTCTTTAGCTATGTTTGGGGTTAGGGATTTTTACTCTCAATGGATTTTCAAGTCTCAAGGGATTGATGTCAAACTAGTAAGGAATGAATAAAGGATTACAAAATTCCCCATATGAGCATTACTAATGCATATAAGAGGGATTAGCAAATTCTTCTCATATTTTTTGTAATGCTAGTATGGAGAATCTTCTAATATCGACTATTAACTTTTTGTGGTCCATTTCTTCTAACTTGACCTTAATCTCTTAATAACTTGAAAATCTTGAATCCAAACGTAGCGTATTGTACAATATATGCGAGCGCCATTGCCATAATGGTATATGTTGATGCACAAAACCGGAGGTCTTGAAACAACGTAAATCCGACCGTGAATCTGCAAGTAATGTAAATAATACAAGATGTATCGTGGTTCACCCCAAGATTTGGGCTACGTCCACACTGATTGTATTATATTTCTCTGAGAAGTAAGGGAGAGAGCGTCTGTAATATGAGAGGGGATGTGAAAGGGTTTCAGGCCTAAGAGTTGGCCTCCCCTAATTGTGAGGGTGAGGGGTCCTTTTATAAAATAAGGACTCCTCACTTATTACATATTTGCCCATTCCTTTATCATATAATTACATTTAAGTCCCCCGAGTATTTGTACGAGATCTAAATACGAGGCCCTAAATATGGTATAAATAGTAGTCCCCCAAGTCTTTAGTCAAGAGAGTCTTTTGGCTAGAGACTTGAAATTCAGTCCATGTGGGGGTCGAAGTAACTAGATGTTGTCTTGAACTGATGTTCGATATGAGGCGGTGCTCAATCTGAAATCATGCTCAACTAGAAGTAGCACATGATGCGAGACTGCTCGGCTCGTGGCTTATGTTGCCTTGGTTGGCTTGACTTCTGGCGTTTGAAGGTGAGGGAGTCCCTTTTATAGAATAAGGGCTCACTCCTTAATACATAAATATGGGCTAGAGTTAATGCTCTCTAATGGTGGTGAGGGAGTCATTTTTATAGAGTAAGGGCTCGTTCCTCAATACATGAATGATGGGCTAGAGTCCCCCAAGTATTTTTCATGAGGCCCAGTTGAGGTCCAATATATGGTACATAATGTAGTCCCTCAAATCTTCGGTCAATAGAATCTGTTGGCTGGAGACTTCAAATTGAATCCGTGTATGGGCCGAAGTGGTGGTTGTTCGGAGGCGGTATTTGTATACCCTGCACTGAAGCTTTGCAGGTAAAGCTTTGCAAGTGAAGCTTTGAAGCTAGAGCTCTGTAAATGAAGCTTTTGAAGCCGAATCTTTTGTAAATGAAGCTTTTGAAGCTGATTGACATGAGTGATGCACATGAATGTTTATGTTGATTGCCATGAGTGATGCTAAGGGATGTTGTCATGAGTGATGCTCATGAATGTTGACATGAATGATGGTCATGAATGTTTATGTATGATTGTTATGAGTGATGCTCATGAATGTTTATGTATGAATGACATGAGTAATGCTCATGTATAATTTGAAGTACTGGGCGTACTTTTGATCACCTGGTTGGTGACATGAAGGAGAGTACGGGTTGTACATTTCATCACCTGGTTGGTGGCATGAATGACTAGTTGCCAAATGATTTTAGAGTACGGGTTGTACATTTCATCACCAATGGCTAGTTGCCAAATGATTTTAGAGTACAGGTTTTGGAGTACTGGGCGTACTTTTGATCACCTGGTTGGTGCTAATAGTGGCAAGTTGCCGAATAATTTTGGAGTACTAGGCGTATTTTTGGTCACTTGGTTGGTGATAATAGAGGGCTTGACTTTTTTGGGCATATGGGCCTTCGCCCTCCACATGACATTGCAGCCCATTATTTTGGGCTTTGCCCTTTTTTATTTTTTATTTTTTTACCCTCTGATGGGGTTTATACAGATGTCTCCGAAAGATAAGAAAAATAATTTACACCATTCAGAAACAAGAAAAGTAAATCACATCATTCTGATAGGGTGTTTATTCCTTACTTTTGCTTTTTGCTTTCTGTTTTCCGTTGTACTCTCTCTGTCTCTTCACCTGGTAGACAAAAGGAATTGTAATAATAGGAACCTTATAATTTTGCCCCTTTTCTTCTTTTCTCTTTTCCTTTTTCTTTTCACTTTTGCTTTGCACCTCTGTCTTTGCTTTTCTCGTGGTATTCGCAGGAGATGGTGATGAGTATTCTCACTGCTTGCGCTGACACCACGTGGGGTGGTGCTTGACAGACCCTACAAGTTTTTTTTGTGGGATATGCAAATGCCATCCCTTCAAGTGAGCCATCGATTCAAAAAGCCAGAAAAGTTAAAGCCATCACTAAGAACACCACAATAACCCAGATTTCTCAATCTCCACAGTCCCAAAAGCATTGCTTCTGTCGGTGCTTCCAATCTGCATTCCTGCTGAACTTGTAAAATGGTTCTCAAACCACATTATACTGAAGTTGTCGTCGAAAGAACGTGTCGGGGCAGTTTGATGGTGAAGACGGACGGCTCGTCGGGGAGTCTTCCCCTGTTGGATCACGACGACGTCGTCGTAGGGAATGTCCATGTCTGACTCCGTGTTTTCATAGATCTACCCCTGGGAATTATTGGTCTTTAGGAAATGGCCTAGGAGAGGTTTTTTGTGAGGGCATCGATCCTGGTAGCACTGGAGATCTCTATTGCCGTCCCTTTGGGAAAGACATGAGGAAGCCGTGAGACGAACGCTGGAGAGGTCTAATGGACTAGCCGGCCCAACTACAAATTCAAACGCAAAAGCTTCAGCAGCTCGCTTGCCACAGCTTCGATGCTTGTGTCAGTGCCCTTTTTGGCGAAAAAAGGATGGCAGAGGCAGAGAGCTCGGAAGCGGCAAGGTTATGCACGACGACAATCCGGCGGAGAAACCGACAGTCCGGTTCGGATCCGTCTATTTGCTCAGCTTGGGAACCCGTTTCGTTTCTGGGTTCATCTAGTTCGTGTTTCCGAGAACCGGAGCTTGGGGCTTGGGATTCTGCTACTGTGGCGGTTGAGCCGACGTCGTTTTGGGGATTTCTTTGCCATGCTTGACTCCTTTGACCTGACCCAAGATGTAAACCTCACTCAAACTAGATGCCATAATCTCACTGGGATAACGTTTGTGAGAGTGGGAATTGTCGAGGTAAACCTCATCTTCAGGATCTCTGCTCTGCTTCCCAGATGGAGGTGGTGAAGAAGACGATGAAGTTGATGTAGCAGATGCATTTGCAGATGATGAAGATTATATCTCTAGGTTCTTGACCGGTCTTTGATTTTTCATGCGGACAGACGAGAGTTGTGTATTCTGCCTTGGATTTTTGCATATTTGGAGAGAGAGAGAGTATTGTGTTTCAGATCTGGATTTTTTATGTTTCTGGGTTTTTCTAGGAAGTGATTGGAAAAACTGTGGTATCTCTGAAATGAGATTTGGGTGTTTTCTGTTTCTGGGTTTTTGTGATTTTGCAGATTCACGGCGGAGGTGAAAAATTGAGAGAGAACCAGCATAACTTTTCGTGTCGATTCCCACAAATGGCGCCAAATGTTGATGCACAAAATCGGAGGTCTTGGAACAACGTAAATCCGACCGTGAATCTGCAAGGAATGTAAATAACATAAGATGTATCGTGGTTCACCCCAAGGTTTGAGCTACGTCCACACTGACTGTATTGTATTTCTTTGAGAAATGAGGGAGAGAGCCTTTGTAATATGAGAGGGGATGTGAGAGGGTTTCATGCCTAAGAGTTGGCCTCCTCTAATTGTGAGGGTGAGGGGTCATTTTATAGAATAAGGACTCCTCACTTGTTATATATTTTCCCATTCCTTTATCATATAATTATATTTAAATCCCCCGAGTATTTGTAATAGATCTAAATACGAGACCCTAAATATGCTATAAACAGTATACATGTGGAATAGCCGAATATGTCTGAATTTACTATAACGAAATGAACGAAATGGTCATAAAGTATATTTCATCACATATAAACCCATAATTCAAATCTCTTTATTCATCGATCATCTTATATAGCTTATCACATGACTTGTCACGTAACGAGAGAAATACATTGGTGATTTCTTATGAATTATCTATCTCCTTAATGGTAATTTGGTAACTAACATTAACCACCCAAACGGTCAAAACCCCCTCCAAACGGTTGCATACGAACTCCCCCGTGAGTCCGTGACCCTGAAAAACCCTCTCAAAACTTGGTTTTGGTCTCCCTCCACTCTCCCGACTCCTCTCTCTCTCTCTCTCTCTCCCGAAATGGTCCAATTCCACGAGCACATCATAACCGAACTCCTCGACGATCCTCAAAACGGCAGCGGCCTCGTCGTTCTCTCCTCCGGCCTCTCCCTCCCCAGACTCATCGCCGCCCTCCTCCTCCTCCACACTCCTTCTCAGGGCACCCTCCTCATCCTTTCCCCCCACCAACCTTTCTTCAAATCCCAACTCCTCCACCACTTCCACCCCAACCCCATCCCCGAAATCTCCGCCGACCTCCCCTCCCACCACCGCCACTCCCTATACACCTCCTCCAATGTCTTCTTCATCACTCCCCGCATCCTCATCGTCGACCTCCTCACCAGCAAATTACCCACCTCCCAAATCGCTGGAATCATCATCCCCACCGTTCATTCCCTCACCGAAACCTCCACGGAAGCATTTATCGTCCGGATTTTCCGCTCCCTCAACAAAACGGCGTTTGTTCGCGCGTTTTCTGACAAACCCCATTCCATGGTTTCTGGGTTTGCCAAGGCGGAGAGGATTATGAAGTGCTTGTACCTCCGGAAGATGCACCTCTGGCCGAGGTTCCATGTGGATGTGTCGCAGGAGCTGGAAAGGCAGCCGCCGGAGGTGGTGGATATACGGGTGCCAATGACCAAACACATGGTGGGAATTCAGAAGGCGATAATTGAGGTGATGGATGCTTGCTTGAAGGAGATGAGGAAGACCAATAAGGTTGATGTGGAGGATTTGACGGTGGAGAACGGGTTGTTTAAGTCGTTTGATGAGATTGTGAGGAGGCAATTGGACCCCATTTGGCATACCTTGGGGAAGAAGACTAAGCAGCTCGTCTCCGATTTAAAGACTCTTAGAAAGCTCTTGGATTATCTTGTCAGGTACTTGCATTGGGTTTGTGTTTTTGATTGATAAGGCCGATATGATTCAACTAGTATTTGAGATTTTGTTTTAGCTTTAGTTTTCGGAGAAATACATTTTGGGTCAGTAGTGGAAATCGATTAATGAAATGTTCTTGTTTCGGTAGATATGATGCGGTAACTTATTTGAAATACTTGGATACACTACGCGTGTCAGAGAATTTTCGATCAGTCTGGATATTTGCAGAGTCGAGCTATAAGATATTTGAGTATTCAAAGAAAAGGGTGTATCGGTTTGTGACATCGGATGGTGTGAAATTAAGTGATAAGAGTAAGAGTTCGAAAGGCAAGAAAAGAAAACTGAAAGGGGATGATGATAATGAGCAAGGTGAGGAATTATTACTCTGTGTGGTGTTATTCAGTTTTTATATAGTGTTTTTTGAATTTTTCTTATTTGCATATGTAACAGTTGGAGGCACGTCGTCGACCAGTACAAGTAGTAGGATAGTTTTAGATGAAGTTTTAGAGGAGGCACCAAAGTGGAAGGTTTTACGTGTGAGTGAGTGAGTTCCCATTTCTATGTTGTCATATTGTTATTCGTCTTTCATGAATGCATAGCCTGGCTGATCAATGTACCATAACACCTAATAGTTGTGATTGAACTCTAATTTTCTTTCTTATGTCAGTTGTCTCATTTAATTCTATTGTTTCAGTTAGAATGGCCATAGGGATGGTAGTGAAGTTGATAAAATAATTTTATCAACATTTCAATGTGTCAATTTAATTACAGGAGGTTCTTGAAGAGATAGAAGAGGAAAGGCGACAGGCTTCGTCAAGAGAGGAACTTTTGGTTGAAGGTGATGACGATTATAGTGGTATTGTTCTAGTGGCATGCAAAGATGAACGTTCATGCATGCAGCTTGAAGATTTCATCACCAATGGACCACAGAAGGTTTCCCTTAATTTTTTAATTTTTTATGTTCATTTTGAAGTGTTAGGTTAACTTTGTTTCTTTGGACTTGTACTGTATATAAACTGTCCAATAAATGAAATCTGGAGACTTGCAATTGTGGTGATCTCAGACACTTTTGCTGATTAAGTGGGATTTTTGCTTGTTCGACATGCTTGCTTGGTCTTCTTGATAAATAGGTGCTAGTATTTTGAGAATCAACACAAAGGATATGCAATCATGGTCTTGATTTGATTGTTTAGAGGTTTAACTTTAACGTAAATCTTCAAATACACAAGCTCATGTTAATTTCGATGAAATTATAACTTGTATGTTAAGACATTTTGTTCTTAAGGAAAGTGCATTTGTGAATAGGTTTCTGGGCATTGTTGTGCAAGGATATCGTTAATTGTATAGTTCCACACATTTTCTGTAACTCTTTAAGCGGTCTAAGGTTGTATTTCTGTTTTCTATTATTTAAATATCAATTGGCTTTTCAGAATCAATTATGCATAAGCTTATATAAAAAGCTTATCAACCAATTGATGGTGTATTTTCTTGTGAAGGTCATGCGGGAGGAATGGGAAAACTACTTGCTAGGAAAGGGAGAGCTCCGTGACTTGCATACACGGTATAAAAAGAAATCAAAGAATCCCAAAGGTTTTGGGGTTCTAGATGGAGTTGTTCACGTAGCACCCCCACAGAATGCAGAAGCTAGCAGTGTAAACAAGCAGGAACACGATGCCCTTTTGGCTGCAGCTGCTGAAATTAGAAAGCGAGCTAAAAAAGATGATGCTGTTGGAGATGATCCTCAGCTTCTTGTTAGTGGTAGAGGACATGGAAAGGGAAGGGGAAAGGGAAAAGTAGTTCCTTCAAAATCCCCACAGAACGCAGAAGCTGGCCGCATAAACAACCAGGAACATGATGTGCTTTTGGCTTCATCGTCAGAAATTCAAAGGAAAGCCGAAAAAGATGATGATGTTGGAGCTGATCCTCCTCTTCTTGTTAGTGGCAAAGGACGTGGAAAGGGTAGGGGAAAAGTGAGGACCAAAAACAGCCTTGCCAAGGTTAAATGTTTGGGGACTAAAGCCAGTACTAATGATAAAAAAGAAGTCATACCTGATGATAAAGCCAGTACTAATGATAAAAAAGAAGTCATACCTGATGATCTTGTTATACCGGATTCGGAGGATGAAGGACAAGAATATGAACTAAATCAGGTGGTGACTGCTGATTCTACTGAACCTACATGCCAGATTGACCCTGTAGATGAAGGGGTGTTGAGGAAGCATACTGGAGTAGCGGATTCAACTGGAACAATAAATGCTAAGCCACTACCTCCAGTTCACTTTTATGCTCTAGAAAGTGGTCAGCCTATACTGGACATTTTGAGACCCTCTATTATCATTGTTTACCACCCAGATATGACTTTTGTCAGAGAAATTGAAGTTCATAAAGCTGAGAACCCCTCGAAGTTGAAAGTTTATTTTATTTTCTATGAAGATTCTTCTGAGGTGCAAAAGTTTGAGGCAAGTATAAGAAGGGAAAATGGAGCGTTTGAATCTTTGATTAGGCAGAAGTCACTAATGATGATACCAGTTGATCAGGTTTGATTTTTTTTTTCCTATGGAGAATCTTCTCTGGGACTGTTTGTTGCAAATGTACTGGTATTTATGTCAATGTTTACATTCCGTTTCTGGTATTAATATTGCGGTATTATAATTAAGACTCACAACTGGAAATGTGAATAGATTCAGTAAACCAAACAGAGCTTATGAAAATTGTTTAGGATTTCTATATACTTATTTCTTAGTGCTCGACCTTTAGCGTTCTGCATGGACCGTATGAACTACTGCTCTATTACGATTTCTTTAAGCTACTCCCGAGTATACAAGGAAGAGTAGTTTCTTCTTTTTAATACGTAGCTGCATGTATGTTTTATGTATTTGTTCTTTTGGCTATAATCATTTAAGCATACACTACTGGGTTGAATATGTGGTACTTAAAGGCTGATTTCCCAGTGGGCACTTGTCTGTCGGTATAACATTTTTTAACAATGTGTCTTGAATCATTTAATGAATTTTGAATATTACAGTCGATATCTGTGCGATACTTATGTTTCTATATCTGTGCGGGTCTCTCCTCAATTTGACATCAGGATGGGAACTGCTTGGGATTGAATTCTTCCCAAGAACCACAAGCTTTGTCATCCCAAAATTCTTTAACCAGAAAAGCGGGGGGAAGAAAGGTTGCTGAGAAGGAAATGCAGGTGCAATCTTGATCATGTGTTATGTTTTGTATCTCCTTTACTAGAAGGCCAGTGTTTGTTAAGACTTCTCAATCTTTCAGGTCATAGTGGATATGAGGGAGTTCATGAGCAGCCTTCCAAATGTTCTTCACCAGAAAGGCATGCGCATAATACCCGTAACTTTGGAAGTTGGGGATTATATCCTTTCTCCACTGATATGTGTGGAGAGAAAGAGTATCCAAGATCTCTTTATGAGTTTCACATCAGGTCGTCTTTATCACCAAGTGGAAACAATGGTTCGATACTATAGAATACCTGTTCTCCTGATTGAATTTTCACAGGATAAAAGTTTCTCCTTTCAGGTAAATCTGAATCATATCTTTAGAGATTGTTTACTTGGTCGGCCTAATGCTAAGATGGTATATGTTGCTGGATATTTGGTTGCAGTCCGCAAGTGATATTGGTGATGATGTCACACCAAATAGTATTATATCTAAGCTGTCGTTGCTTGTTCTACACTTCCCCCGGTTGCGAATCATTTGGTCCCGCAGTCTGCATGCTACTGCTGACATATTTGCTACTCTTAAGGCAAATCAGGATGAACCTGACGAGAGCAAAGCAACTAGAGTTGGTGTACCCTCTGAAGATGGAATTGTGGAGGATGATGTGAGGTGAGATGCAACTCGTTTTTGCATGTTGTAATTGTAGCTTCTTAAGCTTGTAGTAAAATCTTTCATACTCCTAGAATAGGCATAGGGAGAACTAACTCTTTTTTAGCATAGCACGTGGTCTACACAGGGCCCTCCTTATGCATTTTTTCATTCAATAAAAATAAAATCATCAGTGCATATTTATGGTGATAAAAACATTTAGTCACCAGTGATACGTGTTCCGTGAGAGGGACTTGTATTAGTAGAACCACATCAGTCGTTCCCTGTCAAATACTGAGTCACTGACCTGACCATGGAATGCCTTGTCGTTACTTGAGCTTTGGTTTGCTTGTTCATCACTTCTTACTCATAATGTAAATCTGAGGGGGTGCTGTAAATTTTCAGGGCTGAAAACTACAATACATCTGCGGTGGAGTTTTTGAGACGACTCCCAGGTGTTACAGATTCAAATTACAGGGCCATAATGGATGGGTGTAAGAGCTTGGCAGAACTCGCTCTTATGCCGGTGGAGAAGCTAGCGGAACTAATGGGCGGTCAGAAAGCTGCTCGCATTCTCAGAGACTTTCTTGATGCCAAGTATCCAACTCTGTTATGAAGATTAGCAGTCATCATAATACATATCTAATGTATTCATTGGTGTAACATTGCAGTGATTATTTAGCTTACGATTTTGTCATTTGAATATTGTTGTTGGGTTTAATTTTTTTCATTTGGCAATTCATTGTATAATTTGTTGTAAGCACAGGATATTTACGAGGAAACTTGTTCAACACCGAGGATTTTGATTGCGACTAGCCTTGTCATTAGAAACTAGTACTGTGTTTGCTAGGATGTCACTCCCTTGTGCAAACCCACATTCCCAGTTTCCTACTTCTAATAACATGGAAAGCCTATGTTTAGGTTGTCTTATTTTGTTTTTATGAGGAAACTTGCCACTGGATCTAATATATGGTCCAAGAATTCTACTGTAACATTGTTTTGGCATTTCCTTGAACTACTGATTTGTTTTTGTGCTGTTTGTCTCATGCATAGTAGTTTTTGAAAGGAGGCATTTCCGGTTTCTATCTCCCATACACTTATTTGAAAAAGGAACACCAGGCAAGTTGAACTTCCCTCAGACTCAGTTGATCAGGTAGTTTCTGCTTGTTTGTGTATGGAGGAGGCCTCTACTTGATTTAGTATAAGTATCTTATTACTTACGTCCAACCCTTCACATGATGGCCAAATTCTAAGTTGCTTCACTATGTTTAACTTTGGGTTCTGTCACTAGACAGGCCCCGATAATCCAGCATATGCAACGTCACTTACAGAATCTGATATTTGCTTTACATGACAGGTTGGAAGAGTGGCCGGCCAGTTTGCAAAGCCTAGGTCTGAACCATTTGAGGTTAGAGATGGCGTGAAACTCCCAAGTTATCAGAGAAACAATGTCAATGGTGATGCTTTCGATGAGAAATCTAAAAGACCTGATCCACAAAGGTTACTCAGAGCGTACCTCCAATCTGTTGGCACACTGAATCTCCTTAGAGCATTTGCCATTGGTGGGTGTGCTGCCATGCAGAGAGTCTCAGATTGGAATCTGGACTTTGTAGAGCATAGTGAGCAAGGAAACAGGTATCTGTTATAAATCATATCTTGATTTTCATGTTGGAACACTTGCAACATATCTTTTGGCTATCTGGCAATTAGCCAGCACTTGTAGGCATCTTGCATCTCCATCTGACCCAGAAAGCTACATACACGTCAAGCACCATATCAGTAGTCTAAAATGTTGTCAGTTACACTCTTCATGTTCTGGAGCGTGCAACAGATTGCCAAGATTTGGTCCTTCTTGTATAATTAAAGCTCTCGTGTCCTTGGCTACCATTTTTACGTGACCCAGATTCTCTATTCTCGTGCCCTAGTAGAAATTGTTGGTGTGAAAAAATACTTGAGTAATAAGCATACACATTGACGAGGTTTATTCTGCTGAGTAAATTTTACCTGGCCGAGGATAGGTACATGGAATTTGCAGAGAGAGTAGAGGAAGCTATTGGTTTCCTTAGTGCTGCTGGGGCTACCGGAGACAATCCAATGGACCCAAAAGAGCTTGTCAAATTGTGTGAAGTTCTTAACCCTCATAACAAACCTGGTAGACAGACAATAATTAGCAGGATGGGGGCACAGATCCCCCATTATCAGAGCTGTGCGTCATGCAGGGTTTTTCGTTACATGGGTCAGTTGGATAACATATTGGTCGAGGAATGACAGGTTAAAATCTAACAAGGGTAAACATCCAAAATAGTTCATGAGATTTGCATGATCAATAGAAATAGTCCGTGAGATTGTCCACTATCCATGATTTTGGTCCTTCCGTTAAACACTCTTTGAGCAATTTTCAAAGCTTTATAACTCAATCGTTTCTTAACCAAATTCGACCTATAGTATATCAAAATGAAGATAGGAAAGTGTAAAACAAGATTATACATATTTGGAAGCCTAATGGTTGCCAGAGATGACCGGAAAATAGCCTGAAAGGTAACTGGTTCGTGGGAAAACTGGAAAATTGGAAAACTCGCAGGAAAACGTTCATAACTTCTTCAATACTCAACGAAATCAAGTGATTCAAAAACGAAAATCATACTACTTGATGAGACGAAGAGAATGGTATATTTTTCGAAGACTAACTTGCCGTGGTTTTGGTCGGACAACGGCTCGAAAGTGGCTAACCATTTTCAAGTTAGCCACTTTCGAGCAGTTTTCCAGCCAAACCACGGCGAGTTATTAGTCAAGAAAGATGTCATTCTCTTCGTCTCGTCGAGAAGTATGCTTTTCGTTTTTGAATCACTCGATTTTGTTGAGCATTGAAGAAGTTATGAACATTTAAAATTTACCTAGTTTTCGGCGAGTTTTCCAGTTTTCCCGCGGACCAGTCACCTTTCAGACTATTTTCCGGCCATCTCTGGCAATCATTAGGCTTCCAAATAGGTATAATCTTGTTCTACACTTTCTTATCTTCATTTTGATATATTATGGGTCGAATTTGGTTAAGAATCGATTGAGTTACGAAGCTTTGAAAATTGCCCAAAGAGTTTTTAACGGAAAGACCAAAATCATGGATGGTGGACAATGTCAGGGACTATTTCTATTGATTTTCAATTTTAGGAACCAATTCTATTGATCATGCCAATCTCAGGGACTATTTTGAATGTTTACCCAATCTAACAATGATATTCAGGTCAATGGCAGTTCTGCAGCGTAAGCTTTTATAACTTCATCGATTTGTTGCTTCTTGGAGATAATTTTATGTTCTTACTTGTAAAATCTGAGAAATATTTTCTTCTTTTCTAGTGATCGTAGTGTGTTATGTTATCACGTAAATTGTTATGTCGAGCATGGCAAATAAATGACTAGCTGCAACCATTCTTGGCAAAAATTGACACATGAAGCAGGATGGTGTTTATGACAAAAAGAGCACAATCTGAAATTAAGAATTGACATGAATACTGGAGATGGGATTCCGGTTCCGGTTACCAGTTAACCCTAGCTTGTATTGAAAAAAATGGCTTCTACTTGTACCTTGTGCCCTTCAGTAGCATAGTTCGAAAGATACAACGTCCATTTGTATTCCTTCAGTGAGGGGGTATGCAAACTTTGGAGCTCATTGGGGAGAAGTTGAGTAACTTCATATTCCATTGTAGTTAACGTACCAAAAACTCGTATCAAAATCTCAAACCTATTTGTATTAAAGGAAGCAAATATACACGTATAGACTAGGCAGTTGATAATAAAATGCGCCCGCCAACTTTCACCTTAGTTTGAATTATTCTAAACGTTGGCTATGATAGTTTAAAATGAGTAATGTTAGAGAGACCAAAATTTTAAATTATAAATCAAATGATGTGGAAGTTGATGATTAGATTATTACGTAATATTGATTTATGTGCTTATTTCTTATTGGTGACACATCATTTAATTTGTAAATTTGGTCTCCATAACATTATCCATTTACAATTGCATTGTTGCAAAAGGAAACAAAATACTACAAGAACATTCACCCAAAACAAGGGAAATTACTATAATAGAGAAATGGAATAGGATCCTATCCGAATCCTTATTGGTGAGGATCCTAAGGATCAGTTTATCCTATTCGTTCATTAGTCATCTTGAGGCTAGAAATTATTTTGATTTTTTTATTTAAAATTGAATATAAATAGTACCTAATAAAATCTGATTGCACGATGAACGGTTGAGATAAATTGATCTCTAAGATTCTTACAAGGAGGGTTGGAAGAGGATTTTCATCCCACGGAACTAGTATATATTAGGATGTGCAAGGAACTATCAGCATCGGATCCGTGGCGCAATGGTAGCGCGTCTGACTCCAGATCAGAAGGTTGCGTGTTCGATTCACGTCGGGTTCAATCCCTGTTTTTTGTCTTTTTAACCTCCTAATTTCAAATCTTACTGCTTTTTCAGGCCCAGCTCAAGGCCCAAACTAATTCAAGTGAGAGAGAGGAGTGAGCAGAAAGAGGTGGTTTAAAGTCAGAGAGAGAGAGAGAGAGAGAGAGGCACCACCGCCTGTCCACCAACTTTTTGGTAGCAGTATGCACTAGACAGTAGTGGGCTGGCTGGCTCACCCAGGAGGCGGAGTAGCCCCTCGACAGAGACTGCATCCTGCTTCCACCTGCGCACATTAGCATTACCCAATCACACCCACCCTCTCTCCCCCCAAATTAATACTACAATGCCCTCCACAACCACCACCTCCTCCATCATTCCTCTCCTAACCTACACCCCTCCCTCTTCCTCCTCCTTATCCTACACCCGAACCCACACTCATACCCACCATGGCCTCACCCACCGAACCCAAACCCCGCAAGTTCCCACCACCCTGCTGGACCCACGACGAGTCCCACGCCCTCATCTCCCTCTACAAGGACCGATGGTTAGCTCTCGGCCGATCCAACCTCAAATCTGCCGACTGGGACTCCGTTGCGTCCTCCGTCAACGACCAATGCCCCCTCGTCTCTCCCCCCAAGACCGCCATACAGTGCCGTCACAAGATGGAGAAGCTCCGGAGGCGCTTTCGGACTGAGAAAGAGCGCGCTTCCACTCATCCAGGTCCGGCACCCTTTTTTTCCTCCTTTGATCTGTTTCAGCCTATGATCGACTTGGAATGCGACTCTCCTTTGGTTTTCGGGTCCAACCCAGATCCGGAAAACCGCATCGCTGTTGAATATGGAGGTGGGTTTCGGGCCAGAAATGATGAAAGTTTCAGGTATTTAGCTGATTCTGATCCAAATTTGAGTGACCCATATGAGACAACCTCAAAAGGTTCCGGATTCGGAGGTGGGTTTCGGGTCAAAAATCTTGTTCGAGGTCCGAATTCAGGACTTTCAGCTGGTTTTGATCGATATGGTAGTCGAGGAAGTGATGGTGGTAGTGGGTTTCCTGTAAAATCATTGGGGGATAGGAATTTCTGGCCTTCAGATTTTAGGAGCAAGAGTTACGGTAAAAGTAACGACAAGTTTAATCCCAAGCTTATCTCGAAGCGTAGTGGCAGCAATGGAGTTGGTTCAGGGAGCAGATTTAATCAGAAATTCAAAGGGAGTTTGCATTCTAATGGCGTCGGTATGGAAGATTTAGGTGGGAGTTCATCTGGGAAAGGGACGGATGATCCGATTGAAGCGATGGCGTCTTCGATAGAGTTTTTGGGAGAAGTGTTTGTGAAGATGGAGAAGAGGAAGATGGAGATGGCCGGGGAGATGGCGAAGATGAGAATGAAGATGGAGATGAAGCAAAATCAGCTGGTAATGGAATCGCAGAAGCAGATGGTGGATGCTTGTGTGAATGCGTTGTGGGAAACCAAGAAGAAGAAGAAGAAGGTCGTCTCGCTTGACGATTCGTAGATGGAGTGATCTGAGCAGCAGAGCGGAGGCTCGTTTATGTAAAGTTTGCTTTCAAGATTAATGAATGATTTAGGATTTATGTTTTGTACTGTGTAGGAAAATGAGAGTAAGAACTATAAAAATATATATGGTAGGATGTGTGCCTTGAAGAAGAAAGAGATTGCTCTGGTCTTAACAAGAACTCAGATATGTAGGGTGATGAGAAACTATGGTAGATTTCTTTTGAAACTTGTACATTGATTCACTGATTCACGGTTCTGAACATGTAAGTTGGTAGATTTGTGGGATTTTGTGACCTATCAGCCAAATCGAGCGTTATAGAAGTCGGTTTTGGCTACGAAGATTGTGATGTAAAACTCTTGGGGTATCTCTTGCAGAAGGCCTTCATTTAATCCTCCATCAGTGAAATGGTTTTTGTGTTTCGATCAGATACTGATAGATAGGTGAAGTACACCTGAGACAGAGATGTGTTGAGACAGAGGGATGTGTTTTCTGATGCTAACTAATATTAAAGAAATTTCATTTGTTTCTCTTGTATTATATCGTTGCTTGCAAGCTAATCAATCAGCCCTAAAACACTCATTTCCATTTGGTTTGTTTCTGCAATGTTTTCCATTCATTTCACACACACACACACACAATATATATATGGGACAGATTCGTGACAACATTGTTTTTACTCAACTTTTGACACAAGTTTTTGTGGGGTACACTTCGTAATGTATTTCAACAATCCAAAATGTCAATCTTTTAGGCCTTCCCTCAAACCATGTTTATAAAAAACCATCCAAATCTGAAATCATATGACCGTCAGATTTAATGTTTAAGATTTTATTGTACACCCATGCTTGTCTATTTTTTTTACTACAAATGAATGTTTTAATGGTTTTGAATTTGTCTGTCTTTTGCAGAAGATATATAGATAGTTCGGTTTGTCAAAATATATTGTATTTCACAAAAACTTGTGTAAAAAAGAATAGTGCCATAGATCCGCTTCCACATATAACTGTAACTCCACCAAGTTTTTAATTGTGTTGCATGTAAAATGTAAATTATTTAGGTTCGATTTAGGTTCGATTTAGGTTCTATAAAACTAAAGGCAACCACCGGATCGATTTAGGTTCGATTTAGGTCCTTTAGGATCGTTCGGTGCACGGTCCTTTTACAACCGAACTCAAAAGTGCATTTACAAATCAAATCAAGCTTAACCTACATCATGTAGGGTTTATGGTAATAATATGAAGGTGCCCAATTTGAAACTCAACTTACTTGGCCCGACGCAATTTGAAACCCGAAATTTCGAATGGTTGGACATTTCCCATGTCTTAACTTTCACTTGATAACCAAATAGAGAAGAAGGATAGAGAAAGGCTGGGAAAGATGTACCATACAACGGTTTACAAAATGGAATGAAAAGCTAAAGCCCCGAAGACAAGTTTAAGTTGTTTTCACTCTCAAATTGTTGTTTCATACATTCTTGTAAGGCTTATTACATTAACATTTCCGACATACGGCACTCCACCATTTCGAGTCGGAAGGACTCACATAAGCATTTCAGCCTCTATGATATATTGTTGAATAACCCAACATACTTAATACACTACACATTTGCTTTTTAATTAAAAATAGTCTTAATACACTCGATAAGCTCATCAAAATGGAAAAGAAAAATAAAGCACGCGGATAATCTCATCAAGATTTGGATCAAACTAATCCATTGAGAGCAACTCCACGGTGGGTTGTTGCTTGGGGGATAGGCCAGCAAACAGGGCCCTAGAGCCCGGCCTATCGACTCCAGCATGTGAGAGCCCGAGGGACAGTGCAGGCCTGAGCACCAGGCCTGTGAGGAATTGTCAGCCTGCGAGCCTGAACTGGGTCTGACGCAGAGTTGATGTCATCCAGGCGTCGGCCCATTTTTTTTCTGTTAGGCGCGTGCATCTCACCAGTGTGCGAGGGGCATGTCACCCGACATGTTTTCAGTGACTGGGGCTCGCGTTGCAGTTTCGCAAAGTTACCGTTGGGAAGCCACGTGGCTTCCCACGGTCCATTGGATCTCAACGGCTAGATAATGTTGACAGTCCGATTTGCAACGGTAAAAAAAAAATCTTATTTAATATCAACCATTGGATCTGAGATCAACGATTGATAATTATTATCCTTTATAAAAAAAATTAGTTTTAAAATTAAGAAAAGTTACCGTTGTGCCACATGGCACAATCTGGAGTGTTGGAATTCAATTTTTTTTAAAAATCCAACGGCAGAGATTAATTAGTTGAATAAAAATTTAAAAAAAATTGTAAAAAATCCGAAAAAAAATTTGAAAAATTTAAAAAAAAATTGTTTTTACTTTTCTATAAATACCTTCTCATTATCATCTACCTTACACCACAATTTCATATTTTCTCAACTACTTTCAACACATTCCTATCTTTCTCTCAAAGTTTCAATCCAATTTTTTTCAACAAAATGACTACTGATGCAGGTACGAATTGGTCGCTTTTTGAAGATGTTGCGTTGTGTACTAGCTGGGTTGAAGTTAGTCATAATTCGGTTACGGGTAATGAGATGCAGTTGTGAGAAATGTGGAGTCTTATTCATACCAATTTTCTTGAGAAAATGGGTGGGAAAAGAACCAAAGAATCGATGTCCAGTCGTTGGAAATTACTTAGCCAATCGTTTAGTACGTGGAGAGACGCCTTGACACAAGCTAGTGGTAATATTCGAAGTGGGGAAAATTTAGCAGATCAGGTAACAATTTATTAATTTGTTAGCTACTTTGATTACAATTATTTGTTTGTATTATTTATTTGTTACCTAATTTGATTATAATTATTTGTTTGTATTATTTATTTGTTATCTAATTTGATTATAATTATTTGTTTGTATTATTTATTTGTTACCTACTTTCATTATAATTATTTCTTCTCCCGTATTGTGTAGGAACTTCAAGCACAAGCTTGGTATAGTGCCAAAACCAAAACCAAAAATAAATCATTCACCCGGTGGGAATGTTGGAATATTGTTAAAAATTGTTCTAAATTCAAAGTTGTGCCTGTTGGTCCAGAAGTTTTTATGAATAGCACCCATCTACACTCTACACCCGATCATGGCTCGCATATTCATGAAGATGATGCAGAAGAAGTGCTTGAAACGCCCTTCCCTGAACAAGCGACGGGTTCGACCCGTTATCCAATTAGGCCTCAAGGTAAGAAGGCTTCAAGAGAAAAGGGAGTGCTTCCAAGAATGATTATGCAAAGTACATGGAAGAACTTGCTCGCCAAGGTGAATTGACTTTGGCGCGGGAAATGGTGAAATTTGAGGCTGATAAGGCTAGAGAGGAGGCAAAAGTTGTAGCTGTTCAGAGAGCATTTTAAGCTAATGAGAGAGAAAGAGAGCTACTTAGCCAAGAAAGGAAACCTGTTAGAGAAGAAAGAATGGCTCAACGAGATAGTGACATTATGAACAAGCCTTTAGAAGGGAAATCTCCAAATTCTAAATATTTTTGGAAGTCGGAGAAAGAGGATGTTGTGCAAAGGAGACGCGCAAGAGAAGCGAAAGCAAGAGGAGATGGTCCTAGCACAACAAGAGAAAATCATCTTAGCACCACAAATTGGTTAAGTGATGATGAATAAAGTACTTTGGGTTGTAATTTATTATTTATTGAATAGAGTACTTTATGTTGTTTCCAATTTATTGAATTTAGTACTTTGTTTAAAGTGAGAGTAAATTTATTTAATTTGGTAATTTATTTATACTAAAAGAATCTTTATTCAAATGACATAAACACACCAAATAAAATTACATAAACATACCAAATAAAAAAAAAACTCACTAAATGAACTAAAAAAAACACACCAAATAAAATTAAATAAACACACCAAATAAAAACAAACACACTAAATGAACTTAAGTATCTTGAGCTTGTTTCAATTGTCACTGGTGCTCTATCAAGTCAATTTGCTGGGCATTGTGCATATATGGCATTTGAAGTGCATTATATCATTGAATGAGTCTTTCATTGTAACGTCCATCCCTTTCTAATGGCTCATGTTGCACGGGTTCTTCAGTGGCGTCATGAGCATAATATATTTGTGTTTTGGAATTGTTCATCGTGTCTGGCTCATATTCATCAATGACATCATAATCGTACTCATCTTCCACAATCATGTTGTGAAGAATGATGCACATCATCATGATGGATCGAAGCGACTCTACATCAAACATTCTGGCAGCACCCCTGACAATCGCCCATCGAGCTTGGAGGATACCAAAACAACGTTCCACATCCTTCCTGCACCCCTCTTGACAGCTTGCAAAATGTTTTTCCTTTGCACTTCGTGGTCGTGGCATTGTTTTGACAAACGTTGACCACGTTGGGTAAATGCTATCTGCTAGGTAGTATGGCCTGTCGTACTGACGTCCGTTGACCCAGTACATGACTTTTAGTGCCTTTCCTTACAGGACTTTGTTGAACATTAGGGATTGGACAAGGACATTGAGGTCATTTTGAGCTCCTAGAATCCCGAAAAATGCGTGCCAAATCCATGTATCAAAAGATGCCACCACCTCCCAAATGATATTTTTTGCTCATTTTCTATCCCTATAAGTGCCTTGCCATGCACTTGGACAGTTTTTCCATGTCTAGTGCATACAATCGATGCTTCCAATCATCCTAGGAAAACCTCGCATCTCGCCCTTCTTCAGAAGCCGTTGCAAGTCCATCTCAGTAGGTTTCCGGAGGTTTTTTGCAGTGTAGATAGATTAGATTGCTCCGCAAAACCTCATCAGGGACTCAAGGATGGTTGATTTCCCCATTCTCGCTATCTCGTCCACTTGGTCTGCAGATGCTCCATATGCAAGCATCCGCAAGGCAACAATAATTTTTTGTTTAGGAAGGAGACCCATAGCACCAAAAGCATCCTTCTTTTGCATAAAGTAAGAATCATAGTTGCAAACGGCAATCATGATTTTGTTGAACAAATGTTGTTCCATTCTATAGC